GCTGTGCCTGGGTCATCCCAGCTGTAATACAAGTCTTTAAATGCTAATAACATCCATATGCTACAATGTTTCTTGGCTCTTGCTCTTTGTTTTAGAAGCAAAGAGACCAGATTTTGAAGAGACTTTGGCACCATAAATCAGAATGCTATCCCTAGGCATTGTTCTTTGAAAGCTTCCTTATTATTTTTGGCTTTTGTTCTTCTATGATACACAGAAACTGTATTTCACAATAATACAATTTTCTGTTGTGAGTGAAAAATCATGTCAGCATTGTAATTTAAACAAAGTCATAGCAGTTTATATAACAGATTTGGGTGGAATTTTGACTTAAGGTGCTATACATAGTACACACAAATACATGTCATGAAATGCCAGCAGTCTTTTAAAACTTAAAAGCAGCCTTGGGGGGCTATAATTTCGGGGGGGGGGGAGTAGGAGTAGGAAGGGGTTGCTTAACCCCTATTCATAGGTTGCTTTTCAGCTCAAAATCACCTTTATGCAGCTTTTTCCTCAGCAGGTTTCCAGATGCCTTTTTACAAATATGATTACACAATCAGAATCCCACAGAAAGACAGCTAACTGAGGGATGATTTTGAGAAGAAAAAAGGCTCCAACCTCTACTGAACTTCCCAAGGCTGCTTTTCTTTTAAAACCACTGGTGAAGTTTGGTTTCATTTTGTTTATTATGGATGGACATAAACCTAAAAATTCTGGTTCGGTTCAGGGTGGCCCTCGAAGCAAGCCAAAAATGCCCCAACCCAAACTGGCCAGTTTGGATCCTCCTTTCTGCCAGCCATTTAACCCATCTGTTTCATTTTCCCTCACTTCCAAGTGGGCGGGGGGAGTGAAACTGAAGGGTTTTGTTAAGTCGACCACTTAACAGAATAGTCGGTGATTCAGCAAAGATTCAGCTTTATTCAACAACTCGAACACAACTCCAACACGGATCAACATCTGATAGCCAGAACAGCTTTTACATTGCAGCTGTCCTGCTTTTAAACTCTCCCAGCTAATGTAGCCACGCCTACTGTACATTTACCAACCAATAAGGTTGTATGCATAAGCACCAATCACGGATGTTCCCGCTCAGGGAGCTTGTTGATAGTGATTGGTTAGGTGCTTCCTGGGCTAGCAATGTGATAGGATGTATTTGGATCCTAGCCCAGGACGAAGCTTAACATAGCATTTCAATTAGATGTTTTCATAACACATTATGCATTCAATGGCAGCTAATTGAATACATTAGAGGTTTGATGGCTCACAGCCATTTAAACCTGACAGGCAGACTTGCTCCACTGTTAGGTTTAAATGGCTGGCAGACATTTCAGCCTAACAGGGGCGGGTGCACCTGTCAGCTGTTCAGCTGTAAACCAATTCATTGCTCTATTTTGCTTCCTCCTGCTTGGAAGCAGGGAGAGCAAAACTGATGTGGTTAATAGCTTGCAGCCATTTCAGCCTAACAGCTGACGAGTGCACCTGCCCCACTGTTAGGCTGAGATGGCTGCAAGCATTTCAGCCTAACCATTTAACCTAATAGGTCAGCCGTGGACCCGCTCTGCTCAGCTGTTAGGTTTAAATGAGCCAAACAGCCAAACTGAACTGGATGTGAGCTCAGTAAATGTTTTGGGAAGGCTCTTTCCCCAAAAATTGGTTAGGTGGCTCCAAACTGGGTCAAGTTCGTGCCAAATTTTGGCTTGTTAACCAGTTTGTGCCCATCCTGATTGTTTATATTATAGTTTGCCCTAAATTAGATCATTTATTTGTAATTATGCTTTTGACATCTTTCTGTTCAGGGGAAAAGTGGGAAGGAGATGGCAGAATCCGGAATGATTCCAAATTGAAACAGTAACCTGCACATAGTGGATTCCATCTTTAAATATTCCATTGCCGTTAGCTTTATTTGGAAGCACTTCACACATTCAGCATAGGGACAATGATAAAAGCCTAGTGACAAAACTCTTACCTTAAATAAAATTCCATACGGTTGCAATTGCCTTGAAAAAAAAGTCCTGTGCCTTGGAGGTTTAACAGGATGTCATTTACAAGGTGATCTTAGGCCTCCATGCCTCCAGCTGTCCATTTCCACACATTAAGCCTCTATTAAAGAGACAGGACATTTTTCTTCAGGCTTGTTGACAACCCTATCTCTGTCTTGGTAATCCTCCCGAGCATTAGGTTCAGACAGCAGGGAAAGCAGCTCTGAAAGGACAGTCTTGAGAAGAAAATGCACTTTTTCATTTAACATGTCCAAAAATGATTATTTGTAATAATTAATACAGAACACTCATAGTTTGCAAAGAATATTCCTGTTTTCATCCCCCCCCCCTATATTTTGTGCTATGATTTGACTGAGTCAAGATGTAGCAGTTCTTCAGGTTCCTTTCTTTCACTTACCTTGGTTTGGTTTGCATTTGACAAGGCACTGGAATGGCAGGGGCAGGCTTTGAACTAGCATCAAGCAGATTAATAATGTGTACGTTTGCTACAAATTCTGACAATAAAATCTATGCTATTGTGTTTTTGTACAAAATGTCATATGTATAGATACATATCTCTATATACGGTTTATTGGGAATAATCTCATTTTACAAAGCTTTATTATATATATGGTATATTATAAAAACAGACTGTATAAATTATCTTGCCTTATTGACTAAGGTCCAATCCATATTCTGTTAAAAGTCAATCAAAACTTTGACCCTGGTTAACCAGCTAAAAACATTAGAAAGTTTTAAAAAACTAGTGTTTGCATCTTCCAGTATTTGTCGTTCTCAATTATCTGACTTAACTCATCACTAGAAGTGACATTACACAGAGTGAATTCCAAAACATGCAATAAACAGGACAAGTCACAGTAGAGCAAAACAAGGTTTCTTTGGTGAGCCAAAAGCCAATATATAAAAAGTTCACAAAGTTTTTAGACTTTCTTCCACAAAAACAAACATTCATATTATACAATATACAAAAGAGAATATAAACAGTGAGAAAAGTGTCCCCATGTATTGGAAAAGAGGGAAATGTATAGATCAAAACAGTGGCGGCTTAACAAGAAATATCACAAACACCCAAAATGATCAGACATTTTTTTTTCTTAGAGTGGTTTCACATTTCACAAAACTGGTCCCAACGGAGCTCAATCTAGGGTCTTTTGGGTCTAATTTCTGGCAAGGGTGAAGTAGTAAACATGCAAAAAATGCACAGTAAACTGGACAGTTACATTCATTCTATATTTTTACACAACAAGCTTACTCACCAACTACCACCTAATACCATGTTGTTTTAAGAATCTCGGAAGTTTTCCCAATGTCTGGTAAGTGTCTCTGCAATCACCATAAAGTAGGCTTTACAGAAAAATTAGACATCTGAAATGGTCTAATCAATGCCCATTTAGACGAAACTTCTGGCAAAACAGACTTTTTGCCTTGTGGCCTTGAAGTGAAATATAGCTTCGGCCATTTTATATGACCCAGCTTGTTGAAAATTCCTTCTTGTTGTGTCTACAGAGAATCATTGTACACTTGGAAAACTAGCTTGATGAAGCCATCATACATTTCCATATTATGAAATTGGCTTCAGGTCATGGCTAGTTTGCTTTCATTTGAATAACTCATTTGAATGTAGCTACATTTGGTGAGAACCTAGCAGTTCGAAAGCAAGAAATTGCAAGTATCACTTCAGTGAGAAGGTAACAGCGTTCCGTGCACCTTGGTGTTTAGTCATGCCGGCCACATGACCACGGAAATGTCTTCGGACAGCGCTGGCTCTTCGGCTTTGAAACGGAGATGAGCACCGCAACCCTAGAGTCGGATTCAACTGGCTTTCGAGCAAGGGAACCCTTACCTTTACTTTACATTTGGTGAGATGCTCATCTGCTAGAACCAGAGCTAGTCTTAACAATAAATACCTGTTCACACTAGTTGCATTCAAATGAAATTAAAATGATGGATGAGATTGATTTGTAACTCAAATACACGGCCAGTTTCATGACATGTGAGAGTATACCTGGGTCATATTCACCACTATGGCTATTTTACACATCTTTTAAAAAAACAAAACTCAGTTTATGAAGAATTACTTCTATGAGTTAGCCCTTACTAATTAACAGTATCTTCTACTTTCTTTTAAAACATTGCATGCAAAACTAGAAAATTCAAAGCATCGAATTTTTAAAAATCTTTCGTATCTTTCCTGGAGGTGCTAAAAATGAACAATTACATTACAATAGGAAGAACAGGATTATAAAGTACCACTTGCTGCACATAGGAAGCAATCCTGAGCATGTCTGCTCAAAACTAAGGGCTAAACTAGACATGATGGAATCCACAGGCCCACCATTTTAAAGCCTAATGAGGTGATTTAAAAATGCTGCAAGGGATGGAGCGCGGAGAGATAAAATGCTCCCCCCCCCAGCCCTTTCTCAAATGCCAAAACTGTTGTAGGGGCAGGGATTTTGAAACTTGAAAAGCCAGAGGGGTGAATCAAGAGTGCTTCATCTCTCCATGTTGTGGGCCCAATTGGGCCCTCATGACATTTCTAGATCACCTCATTAGGGTTTAAAATGGCTGTGGAGTCCACAGGTAAGACCAATGGAAGCCATCATGTCTAGTTTGGCCCTGAGTCTCATTTTATTCAGTTGTGCGTTCTCCTAGAAAAGTGCCCTCAGGAAGGCAACTATAGTATACCTGGCCAGGACATGAAAGCGCTGATTACAGACTGGGGTACACCTACCCTCTCCCTAGTTTTGTCTCCTCTGAAGTATAATCTATAATAATTCTATGGACCCATAAATATTATTCACAAATATGTTGCTCACATAGCTCTCATTCATTTTATCATAGATAAATAATCCCATTTATTAGAATTTCCTTCTCATGTCAAAAACATTTGAAACCGTATCTGGCTCTTTCAAACACATTAGTTGAGTCTGGTAGCTAACAATGAGTGACTAAGCTATTTCAAGATAAAAAGAATGTCCAATAAATTACCTCAGTATGGCTTACTTCATTTATTTATGTACGCTTCACAGCTGCAGCATTCATACACAAACATTCATTACTTTATAAAAGGATTAAAAATGGTTATATATATTTATATATACAAAATTATTTACTTTTTAATTTTTTACAAAAAAGGTAGGTCTATCTATTGCCATCTTTAAAATGCAGAGAGCTGTAACATAGACCTATGGTTAGTGTTGTAAAACTTATGTTTAAAAAAGTGGCCCTGGTTGAGATTTTATTGTATTAGCACTTTGCATTCCTACAGGCCCTCTTTGTCATTAAAAAAAAGTCCTCTAGGCAAGTCCCTTTTGGTCGATGCCGTAGCTGGAATGGTCAAGTTCCCTGTTGCAGTCCTTAGGTCAGGGGGGATCTCCCTTGTGCTCCTTATGAAAGGTTCACATCACATGGTTTTATGTGGTACCTCTTGTAGAGAACAGACCATCAGTATTCTTAAAGCAAGGTGTTACTTCCATTGTCCATCTTCCATTTGCAATAGCTCTTTTTCCCCCATGTTGTTTTTTTAAAGATCAGAAAAACAATCTAAAACTATTTCCAGCCTGGTGAAGTACCTCAAGACAAACAAACAAACAACATCAAAATGATTAAAGACCTCTGAGGCCAGATAGCCATAAATAAGTCTGAACTTAGTGTGACATCTCATTGTATATACAGGATTTTGAACACAACACACATTTAGACACCATTAAATCATCTTATTTACATTCTCGTTGGTGCTAAAATGGAACAGTTTTAATTATTACAGGATGCTGGTTTAGATCATCAAATGGTCCCTCAACAATTAACATACTGGATAGGCTGGAAATGGATCCCTTTTCAAAGTGGTATATGTAGCAATTGTTGATATGTGTTGTGTGAGGTCCTTATGTCTCCACAAATTCTTGATAATACTCCTATAACTGATAGAGAAAGGCACAGTAACTTAGGACTTTGGCTGGCCCGGCGAGCATCCCAATGTGGCTAGAGTGTGTTCAACGCCTTGAATCCTGCCATGACCTGATCCAACGATGGAAATGTTTTGATGAGTTTAATGAATTTCCTTTTCCTGGTGAAGAATGTTTATAATAATATTTCTTAGAATAAGTCCTTTGGAATGAAGATGCTGAAAATAAAAGAGAAGGAAAGGATTACAAATGTACCAGCTAAACTAGAAACTAGTAGATGCAAGACTAGTAGATGCAACATATTATACACCATGGCCTGGTTCAGACATTTATTGGTTTCACAAGAGGCTTCAGGTTCTGCCCCCTTTCCATCCATTGTGCAGATAATCTTACCTGCGATGGGCCCATTCTTTTCCCTCAGGAAGCAAATCAGGCATCACAAGTGATTAGGAGCTGCTGTGGAGCACTTGTATCATATTATGGGAGCAATCCTAAGGCAATCTACTCAGAAGAAAGTCCCAATTTTTCAATGAGATTTACTCCTGGGAAAGTGTTTTTAGGATTGCAGCCAGTGGTAGAGTGGAGACAGCATGTGTGCCTATGAAGATTCTTATTAATAAATGTCTGACCTGGACTTCAGACTTTATATATATATATTCAAAGGTAACTCACGAGTCATGCAGGTAATTTTAGGTAAATCCCATCGTCCGTTCCCCTGGCACCGGATGATTGGAACATGACGCTGGATGAAACCATCTTTACAGTGATATCTGATCAATGAGTTGATTTCATAACGAGGCTTCATCTTCCCAAAAGTCTTTGCATTTTCTACTACTGGAGGCTGGCCACAAGCAACTGAAAAATAAAGCACAAATTGAAGCTAATGGTCAGGATTCATATGTCTGGTCTCCCTATTTCATGATGGATGGATTTCTTTCCATGGAGTGTGACTTCTTACCCAGGGATACTTTTAGTGATTCTGGGGTCTTGGGCAAAAGTCCAGGATGTTGCTCCAGAATCACTGCCACCCCACAGACAGGAGCTGTTGCCCCCAGAATCCAGCTGCCTGCACCCCAGACAGGGAAGTCTTTAATGTTGGTGGGAGCCTGCTCTTCTTCTCTTCTTGGGGGGAGCTTAGGTGGTCAGGGACCTTCCCAACAGGGGGCTTGGTGCAGCTGCTCCTGTTGCCCATTGGCTAAGACTGGTCCCTGTTCTTACCTTCTCCCTTCTGCTGCAGCCCAATATGTAAATTTGGTGGGTCCTTTGGGGCTGGGGGGGGCAGGTGAGAAAGTTGCATTCCCTGAACATAGACACTCCACTGGATACACTCCCCCCCTTTCCACAATATCAGAATAATTTATAGATGCTCCCACAGAGTAATAATTCAACTAAAGGATGTTCAGAACGTAATGGTTTCTAACAGTAGTAGGTAGAAGTGTGAATGAGCATCCTTCATTTCTGACCATTGTAGACAGTTGCATTCCAGTATGCTGGCTACAGTTCCACGATGTAGCTTGGATAGTTTCAGGAGGGGGAATATAGCTAGTGTATGTATTACAGAATTCTAGGGCATTGGCAATGTAACCAAATCATCATCCTGGATGAAACAAATAGTTAGAAATATGGATTGGATCTTCCTCCTTACTTCTTACTCAACTGTAACACAAAAACTGCAAGAAATCTACAATGGGAATGATTTTTTTTTTTGCACCACTCACATAGCCCAGCCTTGTCAGACATCTGCTGGTATTTGAACCCAGATGTTTAATTAGACTAAGAATAAAAGGTGAAGTTCTTGTGCAATTCAGCATGCAGTTTGTGATTCTCCACTTAATTTTACCTGTTCCTTTCTTGCAGGTGTATGTGAGATGATAATTGCATGGTACGTCATTCCACTGGCCATTCTCATGCCAAATTATAACAACACAATCCTCTCCAGAGGAAAAGAAACTGTCTGGCTGGTTTGGTCTCCAGTTTTCATATTGCTGAGGAAAACAAAAAAGCAAAGCAATGCTTCAGAATCTGAATTCTACATTGGCCTGACATCTAAGGGCAAACTAAACTATGCCCAGATTTACTAACAGCAAATCACATGTACAATTCTGTGACTAGAATAATCAGATGGAATATCAGCAGTGGTTTTAAAATACAATGGATTTGAGAACAGCTTCATTTTGGTTTCTAGTTTCAATCCAATCCAATCCTCTCCTTACTAGAGCTCTCGTCTCACATGGCTTTTCCCTATGAAATTCCCATGATCCCCACATAGATGGCGGAAGGTGGCACCTCTTCCTTCTTTTTTTACCAGTAGAAAAGATGCTTGGATCCAACCATTGCGATTCCAGCTTCAAGTTTCACTTAAATAGTGAGGACTAGATGCTTGAATTTATAAAGAAAAAACCCAAGATTGTCAGCATTCTAATAAAGGAACAGTGACTGTAGAAAATGACAGGGTCAGACTGTGTCATGCCATTTGCAGAGCTACAGTTTCTCATTGTTGCTTAGACAGAGCAGGGGGAAATTCTTGCCTTTTCAGAGGTCTATCTCGTATCCTTTTAGCTGAGCTCTACTTGTATGCGTATGTTTTACTGTGTCCAGCCCTGCTTTGAAGACATAGATTTACACTAGAGTGAATGCTGCAGTCATATTCTTTGTCTAGGTTCTTCTTTCAGGTAATACAACAGAGAAAGGAGGGGAATAACTATAAACATGCTTAGAGAAACCTCTTTAGCCACTATTTTTAGTACTTTCAATTTGTCATTGTGAGTAGAATTTAATGGAGATAAAAATAAGTTTCCAGAATGGCAAGAATTCTCATAAATGCTATGCACTGACCATCCAATCTGTCCCTTAAATGGTCAAAAGGATACGCTTCACAAGTGCTTTTATTTAATTTCCATGCTTACATTGGAGCTAGTCCACTTGCGTGCTTATAAAAGGTCTAAAATGTTTTGCTTTAATCCTTTATAAAGTAATCCAAACAGTATCTTTCTGAGCACATTTGAGTAATAAAGTTAATGAACCACACAGATGAGCTGCTTACTTACTGAGGCTGTGGAAAAGCTGAATATAATATTTAAATCTCTCCTATGCTGTGTCACCTTATCAACCACAGGACTTTAATTATCTAAGCAAAGGAACTGCAGCTTTCCAAACTGCATTTCACTAAAATGATTGCCAGTGCCAACTAATAAAACCTTGTTTTATTGAAAGATGACTACAATTGCAAGCCTGTGCATTCTTCCCTGTGAGTAAGGCTTGCTGAATACACCAGGGTTTACTTCTGAATAAATACGTTTAAGGATTTAGCTGTAAATTCAGAATATTCTGTTTCTAGTTCAGAATATTTCTGATCAGATACAATACCTCCAGGACTTAAGCTAGATCAGCCCTAATCAAACCACCACATACCTGATATTTTCTTATTTTTAACAGATTGACATTATAACTATTTTAATTATAAATATTCCCTTGAAGTGACAGAAGAAGAAGCCCTTGCTATTTTGACAGTGTAACTTTGTGCATGCATTCAGAAACACAGGACCAAGGCTTGTATATTTCCTTTAGGTAGACAACTTTCACCCTGTTTTATAAGAAGGAAGCTCTCCTCTTTCTTGTGATTTGGAATTCAGCTTACCCCTAAGAGTCACAACAACACATGTGACTTTTCTGGGTGTAGATAAGCATTCAGACATGCAATCACATACCTGCATTCTAAGGCTGTAGGAGGGATTATACTAAGTGATTTCTGTGGTTATGTAGTTTTGCCCTTCCAGCCAGCATAACCAAAGCCATGAACCCACTTGATTCAAATTCAAATATAAAACTTCCATCATAATGGTCAAGAAAGCCAGGACTTCCTTTGAAATCATGTTCCAAAACAACTAAGTGACTTCAGTCACGCTGGAGCCAGCTCCTAATGCCTTGTTCTCCCAAGAGGCTGAATTCTCATCTGAGTGTGCCAGTGCTAGCAAAAGATGTATGTCTGCCAAGCGTTGACCACCTGCAAGTCCTGGGATTTTCAACACTTGTGGTCTGATTCAGCAGCATTTCAAGGGAGCTGGATGTGGCTTGCAATAAAAGGAGAGAGCCCTGGCTTGAGTTTTGTACAATAGACTTTGTGGTTTCACAAGAATGTCTGACACCCCCAGGCATGACATGCTGTTGCCTTACATCTGATATCATCACTGCGCACATTTACTTTGGCTCTCTGATTCTCACGTTGTTTTTTGTTAGTGCCAGAACCACTTAACAGAGGAGGGTCCAGACTTCTGAACTGCTTTCTTAACCTTCCACCTCATATGAATTGAAGATTTCCATTCTTATTGAGACAAGCTTCATGGATTGGGAGATAAGCCTTTAAAATGGTTCTCACAGCTTGTATTAAAATGCTTTCAAAAGTATGGATAGAGTCTTTGAGAAGCAATGGTGTCTGACAGGTAGCTGGAAAGACATGCTGAATAGCCGGTTATAGATTACAAACAGTTCATGTGGCCCAGCCAAACTGTAAAATTTTCCACTGTTCAAAATATATAGGCAACAGATGAGGGATGGGAAGGAAAGTGATGGGGAGAAGTCAAGGACCCAATCTTCCACTAAACTCAAAAGCTTTTCTCTGGCTTCAGAACTTAAGGGATGGAATGTGGCAATAACAATTAGGTTCAAAGTCTTTCTGTGGGCAGGCCCAGCCGTCAAAGTGTAAAGCAAATGCATTTATAAAGTGGTGAGTTAAAACTAAAAGATGATAGTACATTCATCTTTACTAAATTTTACAGTAGATTTCATCTCAGAACAGAACTCAATGGGTTGAATCCAAATTAAATATTCCATCAGCAGAATGGAACTTTCCAGTTTCCCCTCTCCCACCAATATCCACAAAATGCTGCTAATGGGGGACAGAGGACTCTGAGGAATGACACCCATCTGTGCAATGGGAATCAGTGAAATTGCCAGTTTGGTCCAGGTTCAACCCATGTATGGCAATTGCGTAGGTATTTGCACATTTGCTTTTTAAAAAAAATAATAATGTATGTTATGTCCCACTACTGTCTTCTGTGTACATCTGTGGAGTGGGGGGGGGATTGGGGAAGAGGATATCCTTGGGTTGACTCCTGCCTAGATTTCTCAGATGCAAAGGGGGATATTTTTGCCAATTCCCCACTTCTGCAGATGTGCAAAACATACCCCAAAATGCTTCTACTGGGGAATGGGAGACTCTCATGAATAGCTTAAGATGGAATCAGAGATTTCTTGTGGGAAGGAGGGATCAGTGAAAATGCCCCCCCCCGCTCCTGTGCAAATCTAGATGGGATTCAAGCCCACAGATGTGCAATTCCATGATCACTCCAATAGCTAAGGCTCCCTATTTGAATTCTCTACATGTGACATGATGGTGGTGGAAAGTGTCATCAAGGCGCAGCCAACTTATGGCAACCCCATCGGGTTTTCAAGGCAAGAGTTGTTCAGAGGTAATTCAGAGGCAACTTGCCATTGCTTGCCTCTGCATTGTGACCCTGGTATACCTTGGAGACTGATCAGGGTTGACTCTGCTTAACTTCCGAGATGGGATGAGATTGGGCTAGCCTAGGTCATCCAGGTACAGGCAAATATGATATGTAAAACTCTAATTATATTAGAGAATTCTGGAATGGACTCTCAAATGTTAAATTCCCAAAGAACTGCAATTAAACCATTGGACTGCTTTTTTGCAATCCCAGGAAAGCAGAATCATGCAGTCACATTCCTCACAGTCCACAAGCTACACACTTGCTATGCATCAAGGAATCTTTTAAGGACCTGATGCTTTCCCCCCTTGCTCTCACAACTGCAGAATCATAGACCCAGTTTTCCCAGTGTCTACACTCTGTGAGGAGCAGGGCGCTGCAAAAGTAATGAGTATTGAATAGAAGATCAGCACAATTCAACAGAAGAATATTGGCGCACTAACCGAAGAGCAGCCAGAAAATGGAACACAATCAGAACAGAACTGGTGGCATGAGCTATTCCCTAATTAAATCCTGTAAGCTACAGATGGATGAATGTGCAATTAGTAATTAATTAATACAATTAATTAATCAGATTACCAATGGTCATTTGGAAAACACCCAGCATCTTTAGCCCTCTCAAACAGCTGTTATTGAACATTCTCATTATCAATTTATTATTTTTATATATTTTAATTTTTTTTATTTTCCATCTTTATGAAAAGCTCAAGACTGTCTATAAACGCCTTATAGCAGATTCATTACATCAACTATAAAATACACCAGTATCATAGCAAAACAAAATACCATCGCACATTCAGTATAAAATATCAAGCACATCACTCAATGAGAGACATTCAGCAGAGATAACCAAAGCAATTTCAATCTGCCATAAACCAAAGGTAGCAAAAAGCCTGCAAAAGAGCTATGTCCTCCTTGGGAAATCTCATGAGTGAGCTGCTAAAGTGTGCACAAACTGCTGAGAAGAAGCAACCAATAGAAACCAGAAGGCTGCAGATGGCACACAGGGTCATGCAGGAGAAAAGGCTTCTATGGCGATTTCTGAGCCTCTTGTACCTCCCACAGAATGCACTGGGGTCTTCCCACCACTTCTCTCCTCTTCATGTCATTTGCGAGTATTATTGGTGCTACAGGAAAATCTCAATTCCCATCAGGATGGGCAACATATTCATTGAGGTCTTGGGTTTTCCCATGCATGAAGATGCATCTAGGATGGCAAGGTATCAGTGGAGCTTAAGTTCTCATGATGCTCAATCATCCTCAAATTATCCAAGGCCTTCATGAAGCCCAAGCTTCCCAAAAGCTCCCAATCTCTGGTGGGCCTCTGGTGGGGCCTAGAATTCTCCCAGAATTACAACTAATCTCCTGACTTCAGAGATCAGTTCTCCTGGACAAAGTGGCCGCTTTGGAGGGTGGACTCTGTGGTATTATACTCTGCTCAGGTCCACCCTATCTCTGTACCACCACCACTATTGTAAGGT